ATTTATCGAAGAAGAAAAGAAGAGGAAGAAGAAAAAGATGTAAAATAATGATGATTAATATTATGATGGTTAATAATATTGATAACAATAATAATGATAATAATAATGATAATAATAATAATAGAGATAATAATAATAATAATAGAGATAATAATAATAATAATGACAAAAACAACAATAATAATGATAATGAGGAGGAGGACGAAAAGGAAAGAGAAAGAAGAAAGAACGAGAACAAAGAAGATGGAAAATAACGAATTAAAAGTCCAGTGAAACGAAGCGAATTAAGAATCTCAGGGGTATTTCTAATTCTGTGACCTTTTCCCTTTGTCTGTCTCTTCTGTGGGCTGGGCTGGGAGATAGAAAACGGGGGGGGGGGGGGGGTAAGTGAGTAGGGGAGAGGGGAGGGGGGGGGAAGTGAGGAAGGGAGGTGAGGTGAGGGAGGGGTGGGGGGGGAGAGAAGTATGCTGAAGTCGATGGGTAGTGGAGGGGGGAGGGGGGGATGGTGAGGGAGGTGGAGGGGAGGAGGGGGTGTGGGAGTGTGGGGGGAGGGGGTGGGGACCGAAGGCGAAAGGGGTTTGGAGAGACTGTTGGAGGAAGAAGGAAGGAGGGAGGAAAAAGTTGTCGGAGCGAATAGCAATAATAATAATGATGATAATAATAATGATAATAATAATAGAGTTAATAGCAATAATAATAATAGTGACAATGATAATAATAATAATGACGATGATGATAATATCAATAATAAGGATAATAATAATAATCACAATAATAATGATAATAAAAGTGAAAATAATGATAATAACAATTAAACGACAATAATAATAATAATAAGACTAGTCTTCACAATTACTATCACAAAAAATATTATGATAATAATAATAATGATGATAATTATCATCATTATTATCATAGTAATAACTACGATGATAATAAAAATGATAATGATGATCATTATGATGATTGCTACTTACAACAATAGCAACATATTTGTATATTTATGTGCATGTAGTTCAGTAAAACACCAAAAATCCATTTGACAAAAACAAAAATAACCAATCATCCATTTCCCCCCCCTACAAAGCCCTTTTTATCTCTACAGTAGAAAGAATTCACTACCCTCCCCCCCCTCCCCTACAAATCCTTTTTTTATCTTTACATTAAAAAGGAATTAGACATCTGTTGGGTCCGCATCGTGACCATACATCACCAGGAACAACCGCACACACACACGCCATGACCCCCACGCAAGCACGCGCAGTGGCTCAAGGTATTCTAATGCGTAGGAAAAGCTCATGCGATGTAATGATAAAGACAAACATATCAAACGTTCTTTTGTTTATCCTTGTGTATATATTTACAAAAAGTTCACTCGTATATTGTGTGTTTATGCTTACCTGATGAATACGTAAGTGCGTATTTTATATAGAGTGAAAGGCTTTTTAGTTTACATATACGTCTAAATACATATATATGTGCATACATACATACATACATACATACATACATACATACGTGCATACGTACATACGTACATACGCACATACGTACATACATACATACATACATACATACATACATACATACGTACGTACGTACACACATACATACATACATACACATTCAAATATACTAATGTGTGTACATGTTTACACATACTCATGATACAATACACAAATATGTACACATGCACACACATGTTCACACACACAGACAACAACGCATTATGCACACGTATCGCCACCCACGATTATTTGCAACTAACGCATGAATATTTACCAGGAAAAAAGGTACTGTGTGTATCTAAAGGGAGTGTGTGTGTATCCATAATCAATAGAGCTATTCTTCGCTGAAATAAAAGGGAGGGCGGGGGAGGGGGAGGGGGAAGGGGAGGGAGACAAAGCATATGGGGAAGGTGTGTAGTGTATACATATACACATACACACACACACAAACACACACACATACACAAACACACATACACACACACACACACACACACACACACACACACACACACACACTCACACACACACACACACACACACACACACACACACACACACACACACACACATATATATATATATATATATATATATATATATATATATATATATATATATATATATATATATCATATATAATTCAAATATGTAAATTCCGTCTGACAGTCAGTTTGCGATACAATCTAGGCGAAGCAAAACCGTATCGACAGACGGAGGGGAAGGGGTGACTGAAAGAGATCGAGAGGTGCCGCGAATTCTGGCCAACACGCACTAGAATATTTATATATTTTTTTCTTTTTTTTTCTCTCCTCGTCGCTGCATTCAAATTTTGTCAGGAGAGAGGTCGGGCGTAGATGTTGACAGCGGTCCAAGAGTTCCCCGAGTCGTTTGCCAATGCTGATTCTTCATATTATTCAAAAAAAAAAAAAATCTTATATTTTACGTTTTTTTTATTTTTATTTTTATTTATTTATTTTCTTCCTTACTTCTATGATAAGATTTTGTAATATGCGTGTATGTGTATCCAATTTTAATTGATTTTTATGATAAGGATCTATAAAATATGTGTATCACCGATAATGATAGTGATGGTACCAGCAACAGAAATGATTTTAACAACAATGATAATATTAGTAACAATGATAATGATAATCATAACCATTATAATTATTATTATGATCCTCATCTTTATCATTATAATTATCATCATTATAAATGCCACGGCTATTTCTCTCTATATCTTCATTTTAACCTTATTATGATGATATAAGTTATCATTAATATTAACATCACTACTAGCATTTTAATGATAATCTTTATTATAATTATCATTAGCATTATTCAATTCTTTATATCATCATCATTAGCAATTTTTGTTATAACCATTACAACCGTCTTTATCCTTAATTTTACCATCCTCCCCTTTCCCATTCTCCCCTCTCTCTCTCTCTCTCTCTCTCTCTCTCTCTCTCTCTCTCTCTCTCTCTCTCTCTCTCTCTCTCTCTTCTCTCTCTCTCTCTCTCTCTCTCTCTCTCTCTCTCTCTCTCTCTCTCTCTCTCTCTCTCTCTCTTTCCTTCCCTCCCTCCCTCCTTCCCTCCCTTCCTCCTTCCCTCCCTCCCTCCTTCCCTTCCTCTCTCTCCCTTCCTCCTCCTCCTCTCTCTCTTTCCTTCCCTCCTTCCCTCCTTCCCTCCCTCTCTCTCTCTCTCCCTCCCTCTCCCTTCCTCCTCCTCTCTCTCTTTCCTTCATTCCCTCCCTCCCTCCTTCCCTCCCTCCCTCCTTCTCCCTCCCTCTCTCTTTCCTTCCCTTCCCTCACTCTCTCCCGTCCTCCTTCCCTCTCTCCCTCCTTCCCTCCTTCCCTCTCTCTCTCTCTCTCTCTCTCTCTCCTTCCACATCTTCATCTTCTTTCGTATCAAAGATTAATGCACTATGTCGCACGGGAAGAGAATGAATAAAATTGTAATCAAAATGAGAAATTGGTCTTTCATGAACCAAGAAGGCGGAAGACATGGCAGGAAACGAGGGTGAAGGAAAGGGATAAGGAGAAAGAAGGAGATAGAGAGAAGAGGAAGAAGAGAGAAGAACAGTTATAATAATGATAATAAGGATGATAATGATAATAAAAGAGATAACGAGAATCTTGATAACAATGATAATAATGATGATGATGATGATAATAATAATAATAATGATGGTGACGATGATAATAATAATGATAATAATAATGATAATAATACCAACAATAATAATAAAGAAAAAAAATAGTGTTGATATCATTATTATAATTTTGTTATTATTATCATTATTATTACTATTATTATTATTATTATTATTATTATTATTATTATTATTATTATTATTATCATTATTACCATAATTACATTTTATAATAATAAAAATAATAATAATTATTATTATTATTATGATGATTATTATTACCTCCGCCAAGGAGGTTATGTTTTTGACGGCGTTGGTTTGTTGGTTTGTTAGCAGCGTAGCTCAAAAAGTGCTGGCCGGATTTCATCGAAATTTTGGGGACAAGTCAGAAAGGGACTAACTTAGAATGATTAAATTTTGGTGACATTCCGAATTACTGTCTGGTTATTATTATTATTATCATTATTTAATCAATAAATTTACTATCCAAGTTCGGTACACAAATCTACGGTAAACGTGTGCCACATTTCACCATCTCCCATTTTGTGGACAAGCCAGAAAGGGACTAACTTAGAACTGATTAAATTTTGGTGACATTCCGAATTACCGTCTGGACGCAGCAGCGGTGTAAGTACATTATATAAGCACCTTGGCGGAGGTCTGCACTCTCTGAGTGCTTTTCTAGTTATCATTATTATTATTACTATTATTATTATTATTATCATATTGATAATAATATAAACATTAATGTTAATAATAATAAGAAAAATAGCATTAATAATAATGAGTATAATGATAATGAGAATAAAAAAATGATAATGATAATAATAAAGATAATGATAAAGATCATAATAATGATAGTAATGAGGAAAAGAATGATGATGATAAAAAAATAATAATAATAAGGATAATAATAAAACAATAATAATATCAACAACGATAACAACAACAACGATACTGCTGCTGCTACTACTGCTACAACTAATAGTAATAATAATAATTACAATAATAATAATAAAAATAAGGATAATAATAATAATGATAATGATGATAATAGTAGTAATAATAATAATAGTAATAATAATTATCAGTATTATTATTATAATTATCATTAATATCATTATCATTATTATCATTATCATTATGATAATAACAACAAAAACAACAACAAAACAATAACACTTACTTTTCAGTTAAAGACCCAACCACCCCCCCCAAAAAAAAAACCTCCCTCCCCCCCTCCCCCCACCCCCACCCCCCTCAAAAAAAAGTGAAAGAAAGAAAGATAAAAATAAAATAAAATTTCAAAAAAAAAAAAAAAAAAAAAAAACTTACCATCCGTCGGCCTTGGAATTTCGTTCATGAGCTGGACGCACATCTCGAGGCGCGCGGCGATGATCGAGTGCAAGATGGCGGAAGAGTCGCTCTCTTGCATGTCCTCGGCTTTCCTCTTGGCTCCCTCCTGCAACAGAGGGTGGGGGGGGGGGATGGTGAGAAGAGGGGGGGTGAGCGGGGGTGATGGGGGTGGATGGTGATGGGAGGAGGGGGAGGGAGAGAGGAGAAGAGTGGAATAATAATTATAATAATGATGATAATAAAGATAATAACGATAATAATAATAATAATAATGATAATAACAATAATAATGATAATAGTAATAATAATAATGGAGGAGGATGAGAGGGAATGGTGAAGAGGGATGGTGAGGGGGAGGGGGGGAAGGGATGGGGATGAGGGGAGGTGACGCGATGATGATGAGAGGAGAGATGGTGAGCGGAGGATGGTGATTTGATAGTGTTGCGGAGTTAAGCAGATAGTGATTTGATGGTGTTTAAGCGAGAGATGGTGAAGACTGAGGAGGATGCTGATTCCATGGTATTGTGGGGGTGTTGTCATTGGGGGGGGGGGGGTTGGAATGATGCGAAGGATGGTGAGGAGGAGAAATAGTGAGTAGAATAAATTGTGAAGATTTGAAGGGATGGTGAGGAGAAGAATTTGTGAAGGTTTGGAGGGATGGTGAGCTGATGGTGATGTTTGATGGTGAGATGAAGAGGGAATGATGAGAAGATGGTGATGTGGTGGAGGGATGGTGAGAGGATGGTGATGCTGTGGTGTTGAAATAGCGTTGATGGAGATGTGGTGATGAGGGAGAGAGGAGGGAATGGTGAGGAGATGAGAATGGTGAGAATGGTGAATGGTGACGGAGAATAAGGAGCCATGATGATAACTTATAGTGATATCTACATTGAAAATTGCGACCTATAATAATAATTATAAAGTACAACGAAAAAAACAAACAAAAGTAAAAACAACAACAAAGACTAAAAAAAACAAACCGCAAAAAGAAGAAAAAAGAAAATAAAAACAACAACGGCAAGAGGATAACAACGGGAAAAATACCAAAAAAAAAGTAGAGGAG